TGATGAATAAAGAGAAAGGGGGTGTTGATCTACTTGAAGAGTCAGATGATGATGATGATGATTTCCTTAATAATAAAGTTCGAGATTTATTTGCTCGAGACGAAAAAGATGATGATGACGGTACATTATAAATATTTGGAATGATGTTTTGATAAAATGATTGATCTAAAAAAATTTTTTTTTTATTGAATTTGCAAGAGCAAAAATCTTCTTTTCAAAAACGCCAAGAAAGAATTAAAAATCAAATTGAACAATTTGAAACGGAAAATGTTGCTGAAAAAGATTGGACTCTCGTAGGAGAGGTAAGAATGTTATTTTTTTAATAATATTGTAATTGTAGATATAAATTTTTTTGCTCCTTTCAATTAGGCGTCAAGTAAAGATAGGCCTATAAATAGTTTGTTGGAAGAAAATTTGGAGTTTGATCATATTGTAAAGGTAATTTGTAATCCTGCTTTTATTATTCAATTATAAAATTTGAAGTTTAATAATAAACTTCCAATATGTATATTAGCCCGTTCCTGAAATAACTGAGCAATTTACGGAAAAACTTGAAGATATAATAAAACGAAGGATTTTGGATGTAAGCTAATAATAATAATCAACAAATCATTTCAAAATAAGAACATTAATATATTTTTTCTATTAGGAAACATTCGACGATGTTGAACGTAAACGTGATCCTAATTTTAGACCATTTTTACCTTCGAAATTAGTTGAAATATCAGATGAGAAATCAAAGAAATCTTTAGCTGAAATATATGAAGAAGATTATGTTAAACAAACTACTAAAGATATGAAAAATGAGAAGGATGAGGCATTAAAGAAAGAACATAAAGAAATCGAAAATATGTTTAAGGATTTATGTCATAAATTAAATGCTTTAAGTAATTTCCATTATACTCCAAAACCAGTAAGTTCACGTTGTTCGCGTTTAAAAATGTTTTGGGTATACTGATTTATTTTATTTATTATTTATAATAGCCCAAACCGGAAATTACCGTTATTTCTGATTTACCTGCAATTTCTATGGAAGAAGTTATACCTGTTAATGTTAGCGATGCTAAATTATTAGCACCTGAAGAAGTTTATGACAAAAAGAAAGGAGAAATTAAGGTAATATTCAAGAGTAAAAGTCATGTTAAATTGTAACAAGTGGAGTTTCTTATGTAAGGAATTATATTTTATTAGGGCGAAACTGAAAAGGACTCGACCGAGAAGAAACGAGCTCGTGTTGCGAAGAAACGCGCCAAGAAGAGAGAGAAGTTATTAAAAGAACGTGAAAAGAAAGTCATCGAAAAGTAAGTTTATTGTATTTTATTTTGTAAAACATATATACACATAAATTTAATAATTTTTTTTTAGGATAAATCCTGGATTAGGTAATAAGCATTCCAAACAAAAGATTTTGGATTCTTTAATTGGACAAAAGGTAAAAGAATTTTTTGGTGTTTATTGCATAATGAATAATTTTGAGCGTTCTTTGTTTTAAAAAAAAATACATATAATATATTTCAGAATGTTACTATTATCGATAAGGATGGAACTCAAAAATCGGCAATAAGACATGTTGTTGATGTTAAATCCACATCTTTGAAATTATGATTAAATTGAGCGTAAAAGATATTCCCTTAAATCGACTTTATGATATAAATTCACATTTTGTATGTATGTATTTGGAATATATTTGTCGCTTCTGCTTTATATAAGTGGATTAGTAAACGCATGATTGATAAAATGTTGTAGAGATTCAAAGTAATGGATCCGAGCGCCTTAAAAAATAAGAGTACGTTTTCTTCAAGACAAATCGAGTAAATAAGTTTTGATTTGGAATTTTATAAAATGATGGCTCTTTTTTCAAAAAAAAAAAAAAAAAAAAAAAAGGAATGTTCGATTTTTAATGCTCCAATCTAATTTTACCAGTAGTTGATATTTATAGTTGTATGTAATACATTGATAATTTTTTTTGCAAAACAATTAGCCGATAATAAATATTAAGGGATAATTATCTAATATGATTAATAAAGATAAAGAAAAAACAAATATAAATTCGATAATACAATAACAATTAAGGGACTAAGATTTCATTCCAATGGCTTCAATGCCATTAAAGTACCAATAAAAGTTAAGATCTGTAATTAAAATTAAATCAAATATTCAGTTAATATATTAATGTCGATATGGCATATAATAAAATGAAAAAATGAAACATTACCAATCGAGGCCTAACTTCAACAATATCCTCTGGTAATAAGAATATAGTAGCGCCTAACTTTCTCGCAATAGAAATTGCATATCTAGCATTAAGTGTAGCATCATCATCTAAAATAAATTCAAAAAAATTTTTTCGATCAAATATTCTTATAATATCATAAAAACTTATCGCAAATGTAAATTAATTTCATTTACCAGAAATTCCTTTCGTTACTAGAGCATAATCTACAATTCCCGGCCTAATACCGTTCAACAAATCGATCAAAAATATACCACTTCTTAATTTTGAATCCTTGAAACTACTTATTCTCGAAGATTTATTACCACGAGCAACTGTATCATTAGCCCATTTAATTAAATCATTATCAGTAATATCCCGACCACCCTTGGATAAACTTGTTAAAGTCTGAATAATATTAATCCGCATCATTTGCCAGACAAGACCAAGGATTAAAGTTTTCGTTCCGTCACAAATATCGGCTCCTTGGATATTAACAAGAGAAAACCGTAGTTCTTTTCCAATTGCAATTGCATAATTTGTATTTTCCACTTGTTTGAATCTAGATAAATTGGGTGATTTATTAACCTTTTTCCAATTTACTAAATTAGGAGCAACTTTATCAAATGCTTGAAGGAGGATTAAACCATCCTAATAAAAATAAAAATAAAAAAATTAAAATTTTAAGTAATATTCGTTATAAGAAATCAGTCAATAAAGAAATTTAGGTAAAAGAACCTTAACATCTTCATATAGATTATTCACTGCCGGAGTAACGTCCAAACTATTAAGCCACAGGGAAAATACTGTAAAAAATTGATAATACTGCCAATTAGTTTGTGAATGATGATAATCGTCAGAAGTTATTAAATTATATTATACCCCTTGCTTCTCTATCATCACTATCATCAAATTCTTCAAGTTCTGCCTTTTCTTCTTCGTCAAGTGGATCCAAACAGGGATGAGTGTTAAATAGATGAGCCACAAAAGCCAAATTTAACTTTGGGTTTCCAGCAACAAGAGCCTTTGGAGTTAAATATTTTCTGCATCCTAATTTCTCGGCGTTTTGCAGAACCTGTTAATAAAAATAATATGAGAAAATAAATAAATATAAAGAAAGATATTTATTATTTAATCGAAATCAATTTTTAAATACCTTCTCGGCACGTTCTAGAAGATCAGGAACATTTAACGGGTCCCGTGAACAAAGATCAGGTTTAAGTTGATTTAAAAGAACTGTATAATTTACACCATCGCTGACATCTTTGCTAAAATTCTTAACCCTATACAAAATGACGATTTAGTTAAGTTCATTAGAGAAAGGCGGGGAACAAAAATTTAAATACCTTCGATCCCATTTAGCAGCTTTTAAATGATAATTAAACCATCGTAACAAAATTTGATCTGGAGGTAATTTTAAAAATTGTTCAAGTGTTTCATCATCTTCCAAAAGTCGATACAACTCTGGGTGAAGTTTTATATCTATTTTGTTTAATAGTCCAATCTTGATAATCTGCCAGATAAGACCTAGAATCAAATGTTCTCTTCCTTCAATTAAGTCTGCTGATCCGATATTTACAACATTACAACCAATGCCTTTTGCGGAAAAAATTACTAAATTATTGTTTTCTGTCATCTTGAACTTATTGACTTTCTTTCCCTTTACAGGCACATTTAGAACTCGTTCATCAATTGTGTCCGGTACGGAGTCATTAATAAGTTTTGCGAGAATTAACCCATCTTATAAAGATGATCAATATTGATATTGTTAGAAATCATATTTTTTCTTAACAAAGCAATAACGACGAATTATATTTACCTTTACATTCATCAAATAATTGCATAGTATTTGTATCTATCGGGATTTTATCCTTAACATCAGGGTCATTAATCAGTACCTGATTGATATGCCTCGTGAATTCAGTTCTTTCATCTTCATTAATAGTGTGTGAAACATTTTGACTGGTACCATGAACAGTGATTTTTTGTTTGTTAACTGCAAAAGCGGTTTTGTTACGACCTTCCCTAAGTTTTACAACAAGCTAATGATAAAAATTAAATTATAAATAAGTTATTGTAATAGAAAGTTGAAATCAAAGACCAAATTATATATATATATATATATATATATATATTTATTTAATAAGGTTACCTCAATGAATTCTTCAATTTCAACATTGCCTGTTGAACTTAAGTCGATTTCTTTCAAGGTAGCTCGGATTTCGTCATATGAAGTACTCTCACCCATCACTTGTAAAGCCTTTACAACTTCTTTTTGTTCGAGAGCACCATTACCATCAAGGTCGATCTTGCTATATAAGACGCGTTAATTCTTATTTAAATCGTATAAAAATTTCAAAAAAAGAAAAGAAAAAAAAAACTCTTAAAAAGCATACTTGAACTTTGCAACGAGATCGAAAGCATCTTGCTGCGAAAGCTGAGGAAATTTTTTTGCTATTTGCATTGCATTCATTTTTGAAAATTATTTTTGAAATTAACGAAAAGTATGGTGAATCCCTTCCTTTTTATATCCGATTTGCCAAGTTATCTAAGGAATTTGGCGGAATTTATTCATTATTAGTTAGCTTGGCATTTGGAAAAATAAGTTACACAAGTGATTTTTTATTCGGAAATAATTTTTTTTTTTTTTTTTTTGCGAATGTCTTTTACAAAATCCAAAAATGACAAAAAAAGCAAAGTCGAAAAAGGCAAGACACCCTATTTACCCATAAAAAAACAACATAATGACAAGCTAACTACAGATAAAAATCATGAAATTATAGTAGAAAAAAGTAAAAATGAGATTGATGATATTTTCGCGACTGTAAAGAGTAAAAAAGTGTCGACGAATTTTCAACCTCAAAAATCACAAGAACCGACTTCCCCAACGGTATCATCATCGTCTTCTTCCTCCATGAACAAAAAAAAAGTAGATGAATTTATTTTTAAAGTTCCCGCAATTCCTAGTAAATCGCAATGTACCAAACGAAAGTTAAAATTGAATGACGATGACGGATTTAGCGATTCCCGAGGGACAAAAAACCGTATAACATTATTCTCATTCTTTTTAAATATTTATTATCTTGTGAAATCTTATTTTTAATTTGCCTTTTAAATATCTAGGAAGAATTACGGAAGATGGACTGCCAATCTTTGACATTAAAGAATTGAATATCGGTCGAGGAGAAGGTAATTCCAGTAAAAAAAAGTTTAATTATTTTAATTCATTGAACCAAAAATTTATTGAATGTTCTTTTTTAAGATACACAATTATGCCCATTTGATTGTAATTGCTGTGAGTAATTTGTTATTTAATTATATTTTTTTAATATTTTACTATATACTACTAAATGTTAACATATCATAGGTTTCTAAACGGAAATTTGTTACCAGTGTTAAAATTTTTTACTGTCAGATCAAATATGTAATATATTAAACAGTTTGTACCATTTTGACATTTTGACACTTGCAACTTAATAAATCGGGTATGCATATGTAAATTTTATAAATCCGGAAAATTTACCAGATCATTCATCAGGGAGTATAAATTTAGCATACGCGTTTTAACGCGTTTTTACTTACTTTAATTTCCTCTGGGCTTTTCGCCGGAACAATATGTTTATTAATGCAATGAAAAGGTTCAATAATACATAAACAATGTTGCAAAGATGATTACGTTTGTTCCACATGGTTGTTCTGGCCCACAAAGGAAATGCAACCTAATATAATAGAGTTGCTTTTACTTTGTGAATAATTTGATATGGGTACAGGTAGGTGATGGTATCGGTTTTAGGTGAAACTGGTTTAACCGCAGTTTGAAACCAAACTGATACTAAGCGGTTTGAATATTTTAAACCATGGTTTGTCAAACTATATTTCAACCTATAGTTTAAACCACCGTTATCAGACGACTTTCCCGAAAGCCACTTTCCCGAATATACATTTTTCCGAAGTCACTTTCCCAAATTCCAATATCCCTGAATCCCTTTTTAAACAATGTTAATTTAATTTTAGGACAATTTTTTTCCGCAAAAAGGTTTAAATATATAAATAATTTTTTATAAAAATTTTTAAAAATAATTTTTACTGCGGCCATTTATAACGGGTTAAGATTATTTCTAAACTTGGATTGTAAAAATATTTATTGTAAATATTCACGAAGTTTAATAAAGCGAAAATTATTAATACTTTCTTTGTGAGTTTGTTTATGCAACTATTTTTAATATTCTTATTAAGAACGGACTTTTGGATGGTTGAAATTGAATTTTTTGTTTTTCATATTTTGCCAAAATATATCTATCTATCTGCTCAAATATTAATTTAAATAAATAAATTTTATTATGAATCCAAAATTTTTCACAAAGTATTCTCTGCACTTTCATCGTTAGAAAATTACTGTAATTTTTTTTTTGAGGCACAAAAATGTTTTAACTGTAATTCCTATATCGTACTTATAAATTTTCGAAGCGGACTTGTTTAACTGCACGTTTTATAAATTGTTTTTTTTATTAGATAAATATTATTATTTAGATATTGTAATATTATCATGTGTTACGTGAAGATTACAAGGTTTTGTTATTTCTTATTGGCCCTCCATTAGATTTTTCAGTTCTATCATCAGTTATATCATCACTAATAATATCAAAGAAAATTCACTAGACATTTTTGCAATTTTCAAGAGAAAAGGAGAACAGAAATCGAAAAGTAGAAATTACACGTGAATAATTTATTAATTAGTAATAAACTCCATTGATCAACATGCCTTATATAATTGTATTAATTATAAAGCCATTTTCTCGAATATAAGATATTCCAAATTGGCCATTTTTCTAATATCCTAAATCCTAATATCCCAAAATTCCAATTCCCTGAATCCTGATTTTCTGAATTCTAATTTCTGAAAGTATAATATAAAAAATTAAAAAATTATTTACTAAGTTCTTTAACATCATATTTACAATCATTAAATTATTTTCTATATACTGTTTAATTGTTACATATATGTCTATGCAAAGTAAAATTATCATCCCAAGTAAATGAATTTTTACCAAAACAAAAGAATCGTAAACATATTGAATATGTGTAACTGTATATAGTAGCTCTTCTTCAACTGGAACTTTAAAGAAACATTTAGAAAAGAAACATCCTACTGAATACCAACGTAAATTTACTCAAACAACCTTAAATTTTTAACAAATGCATTCATATAATCATAAAGAAAACTTTGAAAAAAGTAAAGGTTTAATTGACTGAATAATAATGAGTATGCAGTCATTCTCAGTGATAGAGGAAGAATTAGTGTAAAATCTTGAAATATGAAATTGAAAAAATTAAAAGTGAAATATCTTTAACCACTAATATGTGAACTTCTGATAATAGTCATACTGCATTTCTTGAAGTAACTTGTCACTATATTAATGATAATTGGATGTTTAGACATTTTTTACTTGATATAATACCATTTCATGAATTACACTCTGGTAAAAATATAGCACAAACCTTAACAAATTTATTGTTAGAATTAAATTTATTATCTAAAACATTTGCAATGATAACAGATAATGCTTTATTTATACTTGTTTGTAGAAGAGAAATAGTAAATAAATTGAAAAATAGATTTAATAATATTAATTTTTCTTATTTTCAATGTGGAACACATATTCTTAACCTTGCTGTGCAATATGAGTTGTAGATACATAATGCATCTGTTAATAAAGTCAGAAAATTTATGATTAAGGTTCACAATTCTATTATACTTTTAGAAGATTTATAATGTATATTTGAGTCTCAATCTATTGAATTTCTATCATCACAACTTGATATTGAAACATGCATGAATTCTACATTTCTAATAATTAATAAAATGATTCAAATAAAAGTTCAAACATATATACTTATAGTATAACATCTAGATGAATTTACAAACATTTTTTTTGATAATATTGATTGAAAAAATTTAAATGTAAGTTTAATTAAATATAGTAAATAATAATTAATAAGCAAGTATTAATTATTTAATTTTTTATTCTTAGGAACTTGTATATATTCTATTACCATTTTACTCTGCTACTTTAACACTTTCATCATCAATATATCCAATAATCAAAGATTTTTGCTTAACATTTTAGACTTTAATCCAACATTTAAAATATGAAATTTTAAATAATGAAATACAATATTTAGTAGCAGATTCTATACTTTACAAATTAAATGACTATTGAAAAATCATTAATAATACAATAACTGTAACAACAATATTAGATCTGCATACCAAATACTCTATATTTATATTAAAAGAAAATACAAAAGCAATTGATATTATTAAAAAAAAAAATAAATAATTATATTAAAAATAATAATAAAAATATTGTACAACTATATAGATCATTCTATCAATCCAAACATTAATAGACTTAACACACATTGTTACTGGGTTCATTTTCATTTATCTTAACGTCTAAGTTGAAAGACTGTGGCAGCTGATTCTACATGTTAGAGTTTTTAACCTTAGGATTTTCTCTAAATTCTACAGGTATCCGTTATACTTGAATCAACTCAGCAATTTATTACGCCTTAGAATTTAAGATATATTTAATTGAACTCATAATGACGAACTTAATAGCAAGTTAGTGTAATATATCACAACAATCCTAGGTAAAGAACAACGTTGAAAAAAAAGTAATTTGTATAGATTTAAATTGATTCTTTTATTTATAATTTGAAACTCACAGAAAAATTTTTTTAAACTTACAACTGAGTTAATTTACAACTTAAGCAAAAAGCTATTCTATTTATACAAAATAACTTTGCTATAACTAGCTATTTATTATGCTATAAATTAACTAAATATAGATATATGTTTTAATAAAAATATACTTAAATATAATAAAAAAATAAAAATAATATAAATTATAAAAATAATAAAAAAAAATAAATTAAATTATAGATGTTAAAGAAATTACAAACGAAATAGAATAAATAGAATAAATAGACTGTTTAGAAAATACAAAAGAAACAAGCGTATCAAGCAAAACAGAAATTATTGCTGATCACTGTTTGGCACAGCAGTGACATTATCTAACATAAGGTCATTATTGATTAACAGATCCCACGTGATATTTGGAGTTACAATTTCTTCCGTTGATAACATACTCATTTAAAAAGTTTAATAGAAAAATTTCATTTAACAACACAATCCGTTTTAATTAATGAATTAGAAAAATATTTATAATTACCTTAAGATAATAATTATGACCCTTTAATATAGTAAAATTTTTATCAAAAAACTTTTCCAATTTTTTTAGCAATGGCTAAAGATTATCTTGCTATTCAAGCAACTTTAGTATCTTATAAGCAAGCTTTTTCTATTGTTAGTTTAACTATTTTCAAGATACAAAATTGTTTAAATCCAAAAATAGTCTGTACTTTATTATATTTAAAAAGCTAGTTTTCTTGAAAAAAATTGTAAAGACAATAAGAATGATCAACTCGATAATGATGATATTAATGATAATATTAATGATGATAAAATAGATGAATAGGTTAAAATTTTAAATAAAGGATTTTATTTTTATTTTATTTAATACTAACAAATTATAAAAATAAATAAAAAATATAATTGAAAACATTTTCAAAAATATTAGGAATTTTTATGGTATTTATATAACATTATTAATGATAATTGTAAATATTTAAATAAATTAATTTTAAAACATTCAGAACTTAATCAAATAAATAATTTTAAATTCATCAAAATTTAATGATTGAAATAAATTAAAAAAAGTTTAATTAAATAATTTTTATGACTAAAAGGTAATGCTCGACTAGCCGTAAGACTCCAGGAATTTATAAAATAAGTTATAAGTCAAAAAATATTTTAGCTTTTTTTTTATTTTTTTTGGTAAATTAAATTATTATTTATAGCTGTAACAAATATTGACAGCTACTGTAAATAGATTTAATTTAATTTAATTTGTTTTTTTATTTAATTTTTTTAAATTTAAATTTTTTTTTTTAGATTTCTTTAAAATAATTGGTATTTGCAGTAAGTGGATTTAATTTAATTAATTTAAATAAATGTTTTGATTAATTTAATTAATTAATTTTTTTTATTTTTTAGCTTTTTTTTTTAATAAATTATTTAAAGTATTGACAAATAATTGTAGTTATAAATAGGTTTAATTAAAATTAATTTTTTGCTTATTTTTTTAATTTAATTTTATATAATTAGTTCAGAACGAAGTGAAGGACTATATATGTCTATGCAAAGTATTCTGATATCCGTTCGCTCAAAAATTGAGTCG